TCATGTGAAAACACTCTTTAAGCGTGATAAAAATATTGATATATTTAAGAGAAGCAGTATTTTGATTAGTTTTTTTTTTTTTCTGTCAGGGCAAGCAAATCATGGCTGTTCACTGCGATACCAATGACGCCAAAGTAACTCGACTGTTACACTCCGACTCAAATCAAAGACATACATACACGTGCAAGTGTGAACGTACCCTGCACACTAAGGCCAGCAAAATGTATTGTTATCTTCATTACTGGGAATGCCCTCTAAGCACTTAAAAGAATCAACAACATCCACAAAGCATAAAAACGTTAGCGTCACTGGCGCCAGTGGAAATTGAGGTTATGGGTGTGCTTTGTTGTGGAGGGAGGGGAGAGTGAGCGGAGATGGAAATGTATTTCAATGCAAATTCTCCATTGAATGATATTAACAAAGATCATAATCTCTTGAACTAACTAATAAGCGTAGGAGAACAGGATAACTCTCCCCTGAAAACTGGAAAATTGAAATTGCTTCTTTTATGGCCAGTGGAGCGCATAAGCATAATGTAGGTCTAAAACAATACTGTGACGAACCTGTTCAACATGGTTGGACGCAATGATTTACGAATGCATATCATGTTGTTTTCTGTTAAATTAAAAGTCAAATATCTCAAATTGTTTGATCGTTGGCAGTTTATCCTTCTCTATTGCCGTTTTTCGGACAATAATATAAATTAATCTTACTAATGTTGAGTCTTAATTATCATTAAGTAACATCCATCAAATATTTTCTCCCCACCCGATTGATCTAAACGCGTCACGTTTGAATATGCCCCAGCGAAAACTTGGGAATCCCCAATTTTCAAAAGCTCCCGCGCGTTACGAAAAATATTTGAAGGATCATAAACACAGTAGCATTCATTTGACTTTAAAACAATGTTCCCCGAGCCTCGCTCTCAGACATCTGTTCGCCTTTTCAGAACAGATTGGTGTCCGTGGAATTATCCGAGCATATTAATTTCTACACCAAATGGTGGCTATTGTATATTTAAATTAATTTATCTAATAAGTGTAAGGAAATCGTTAATAAGCTGTCGTGAAACAGCCCCAGAATCATAGACTTCAGTTTGACGACAATTTCGACAAGTTTAAAGCTTGTAGGATATGCAAGAATTTTAGATTACTTTAACAACATGCCGGCATGCCGTTAGAAAGAATCTAAAGAGAGTTTTGACGACACTCAAGATTTTAGAGTGTGAGACTGAATCACAACGTATCTCCAAACCATCTGCATTTTTTTTTTATTGTTAAAAATACCGAATTATCGTGTTTTGGACCAAGCAATTGACATTCCACAGCTACTAAGTTACTTTAGGGGTGGCGAATGGTCCTACAAAAACCACGAGTCTCGCACATAAAAAAAAAATAAATAGAATTGTTAAATTGTTGCCAACCAGCACTGATTTTGTTGGTTCAAGAAGTACGACTAGATAATATGTGCATTGCATTCATATTTATAAGAGTGACAGCTGTACAAAGCAAAGATGCGACGAAGGTTTGAAATAACCTGCAACATAAATTACAAATTATTACATAGCTAGCTCCCTGCGCAGGCAAAATGGTGCAGCCTTTGCCTGCAGCCTTTGCCTGCTAGTTTATAGAAGAGAATAAATATTCCACTGGCCAAGCTTGTTTGGTCAAGATGGCAGGATATGTCGTTCTTTTTTGCGTGTTTGTGGAAGGACCTCCACTACGTCTTGATCTATAGCCATGCAAATAAAACTTGACCATTATCCTGCCATATTCAACTCACGCTTGGTTTACTTAGTAATAACCCATATTTATTATTCCTTTATAATACATGTAAAAAGTTTTTAATGCCTAGTTATAGTGTAGGTCAATATGGGGGAATATATAGAGTAACCTTTTTGACGATATTAAGGCAACATTTCCTCATGATCGGGTGTTTGGTATATGCGCGTCAGTATATAAACGTGGGCATTAGACAGATTATTCGTCAAGACCAAGAGATTATTGATAATCTCTTGTCAAGAGTAATTTTCTGTTCAGTGACAGTGGCCCGGGTGGGGGTGGTGGAGAGGGGGGTTCCCATATGAAAAGGACTGGGTTGCCCGTCGGAAATTTTGAAGAGAACCCCTAAGAAGTACCAAGATTCTGTTTTGTGGGCGTGGCTTGAAATTCTTTTCACCACTAAGAGGTGCGAATTCTAAATGAACATAGTATTCTCTAACATATTCTTTTGGCTAAATATCGTAAAAGGAAGCTCAAAAGCTTCTGCTGTGGATCTTTTGAGGCTGAGCACACAAAAAGGTACCGAAACCGCTTTTTTAACCTCTAAAATGTACGACGTGTACCCCCGTCGTTTTTCTATGGGAGTTCCCCAACCCCCGGGTTCTCAGGGTACCAGAACAGATTTTACATTAAACGTATAAAACAGCAGACCTAGAATTCCTCTGGATAGATTAAACATCCCTATACTACCTAAATCTACAAACTGTAAAATATGCAAAAGGTATTGTTATAAAAATATAGTTATGGAATTCCTATAAGCATAGTGTTTGCTGTGATATGAGTGAATATTATTATTATTATTATTATTAATTATTATTATTATTATTATTATTAATAAATTTTACAAATACTTTGTTTTTTATTTTTGTTTGCACGTGTATTCGTTCCTCTTTGCTCCCTCTATCCATCCCGAGGTTATTCAGCATCATCCAATCCCGGGGTGAGGGGGGGGGTGAGTACTCCCTTATATGGGCTATATAGGTATGTGCGCCCATAGGGTATGGTTTTTCAGCCGTTTTGGTCAAAAATTGAGTATCAAACTTTAGGTCAGGTCACAAATAGGTAAGCAAAATTGCAGATTTTGGTCATAAACAGAGAAGACCTCGGGAGAGTTTTAGTTTTCCCCAAACTTCGTGAAAAATCCTAGAGCTTTTGTTTTGTGTTGATCAGTTATGATCCTGCCCACCGGTCATTTTGGACTTGTGTTTAAGGAAAACTCAGTCAGGGAAATCACGTGATTATCGTGACTCCATCGTTTTCGAAAAGCTCCGTTTTCAAAATGTTTTCGTGCACACTAAAACGCAAAGCCGGCCTTTTCAAATTTCTCCCGTTTTAAGAACGGTTCGAGAAGTTCCGGTTTCGTGACGGATTAGTGTGGACGGTAGGCCTAACCGTAGAAATAAAGCTGCGTTTTCAAATTTCTCCGCCGTAGTGCGGACAGGGCCTAAAAAACAGAAAAACAAAACAAAAAAAACAACAAAATAACAACAACAAAAACAAAAACACTAAAAAAGGGCAAGAGCAATGGAGGATTTCTTGATATGCATGTATATATCGAGTCCCGAACATATCTACCACTGTGATAAATTTGTCAACAACGTAATTGGCCTATATATCCTACTGTGCAACTAAAGTTCACGGCCCATCTGGTCCGGGTTCACGAGCCAGTTTAACCATCAGTTTTACCCTGAGTTTACAGGCTTTCTCTCCACACCAGCCTTCATTAAGTAGAATGAAAATTTCTGGAGCCAGAGATTTTTTTTCTTGAAATGTTTTAGCGAAATAATTAAGGTGTACCATTTAGTACTCCCCCCCCAACCTCTGTCTCCATCTTGGCGGCACCCTCGTTAGAGATTTATGCAAATTTGGCAACATTCCATTCAGGGTGGTAGTTGTGACCATGCAGTTGTCACATTCATCTTGAACACGGGAAATTCGTAACACTGCAAACATATCCACCGATGAGAATGCGAACCCTGGTTCTGGAAAACAGTTATCTGGGGAAGAGAAAGTAGAGCCAGTGCAAGTTGAAGAGCGCGAAAAAAGGGGTCGAAAAGGAGATTTCATTCTCTCTTCTCTCGGCTACTGCGTCGGATTTGGAAACATCTGGAGGTTCCCTTACCTGGCTTACAAAAACGGCGGAGGTAAGTTAAAGTCAGAGAAATGGTGTTCAATGTTTACACATTATAGCGAGATTTGAGCTTCAGAATTTGTTCTTCAGTTTGCACTAGTTCGCTACAGTGTGTCGATATGGGATAGACGGCAAAATTTCACGACTGCGTGACGCTCCGTTTGATTGAATGTTTTGATTTGGAAATGGGCCTGGGAAAAGTGTTAATGGCAAATAACGGGGATTTACTGTGTTTAAAACCAATACATATATTATGATTAATATCAGAAATAATTTCTGGCAGATTAAAAACCATATATGTGAAGCTGCACTGAAGCTGGAATTGTGCAAGCTCCAGGTGCGCGCATGTTATTATTGGGACCAGGCGTAATCAGTCGAATAGACCCTTTTACAGTTGTCTGCTCAGTTACCTGGCCTTTGGATGGCAGCGAGGCTGGAGTTGACCTTGTTTTGATACAGACCTCATTGCTTTTGTTGTGTAAAACAAGTTGTTCTGATGCTAACTAAGTGTATTTACATGACAAAAGTAGTGGGGTCTGTATCAAAACAAGGTCAACTCCGGCCTCGCTGCCATCCAAAGGCCAGATCACTGAGCAGACAACTGTAAAATGGTTTATACTAAGGTACAAAGATCGGGATTTGTTTAAGACGTTTAACTGTCTTGTTCGCTCGTTCATTCGCTCCATTGAAACACACTTAATTGTGCAACGTTTATTTTAGTTAACAGAGTTACTGAAAAAAGAAAAAGAAAAATATTAGTACCAAAAATTTCGGCTTATCCCCCACGTAACGCTTTTGGGAGAAGCGTTGCGTGACGACCCTTGGAGACTAGAGCTTATCCTCCCTCAGGACCCGGGCGGGGGGGGGGGGGNGCTGTGAAGGGTATGGTTTTCAAGCAGTTTACTCTAGCATAGGGTATATAAATCAGAGCGTTTGGGTCTAGAATAGAGTATCATTTTCCCCAAAACTGACTAGTTGGTTGAAGATTTTATCTAGACAAAGGAAACCAGGAATTGCCACTCAGAAATATACAAAAATCAAATCGGCAAGTTTAAATTTACGCCAATCAGCCGTAATAGATGGGAGGATTTGGGGAGTTGGTTCTAGTATAGGGTAGCAAAATTCAGCTGAACTAGCTCTGGTGTAGGCTAAGGGTTCCAGGGTCCCAGCAGCACATCCCCAGCCCAGAAATTCCCAAAGTACCCCTCCCCCCCCGGGCCTCAGGACTGCTGTTCATAGCTTCGCTTCTAGGGGAGAAAATCCCTTCTGGCAGAGTCGAAAGTATTATCGCGACTACATTTATACCAATAAATAAGGGGAGAGGTAAGGAGAGACGGAAGAAGAAGAATCAAACTTCATACCCAAAAAAGCGAGGAAATATTTTCGTATAAGCGAAACTAGACAAGGAAAAAAAAAACAAATCTGGAGGCTTGTCACGCAACGCCCCTTTTGGCTTTGCAGGGAACATTGCGTGACGATTTTAAAAGATAGCTTGTTCAAAAGGAAAAATGGAAAAGCGAACGGAATTAAGTAATTTTTTTACGTCTTGTTGTTTTTCCTCAACAGCTTTGTTTCTTATCCCATATCTTTTGATGTTGTTCTTGAATGGTGTGCCACTTTTCTTCCTGGAGCTGGCGATTGGTCAGTGGTTTAGCTCTGGAGTGACTGGCGTGTGGAAATCAATTTGCCCACTAATGAAATGTATCTATGCTCCTACGGTAAGAGTACAGGATCCCCACTTGTTCGCACGGCAGTAGCCCAGAGCGCGGGCAAATTACAAGCCCGGGGGATTAGAGAAGTGGGTAGGGGGGGGGGGGAACGGTCATTGTTTGGGGTTGATGCCCGGAGTGCGGAAAAACAGAAGCCGAGGGAGATGAAGCGATGGGGCGGAGGAAGGGACTAGCCATTTGTAGGTGATAGTCGGAACAAAGATAAGGAATTGAAAGCATTTGTAACCAGGTCCTTTTTTTCTCCCAATCTATGCTTTCTCTCCCTCGCGCTCATAACTGTAAAAAAGAAAGACAATAAAATTAACAAAAACAATGTAAAACACAAACAACAATGGGCAAGCATCTCTCGGTCGTCGATTAGGCTGAGGGCGGGAGAGGACTGACACTCCAAATTATAATGCCTTCTGCGTAAAAAAAAAAAAAAAAAAAAAANTATGTGAAAAAAGTAAAAGTAAGAGGAAATATTACCATCAATGCTATTCTCGCATATTTCCAGGTGTCGGTTACGCCATATGTGTGATGTCTTATACCTCTGCTGTATTTACATTTTACTACTTGTTTGAATCATTTCGATCTGAAGTACCTTGGAAAACCTGCGACCACCCGTGGAACTCGATGTTTTGCCAGTAAGTGTGAAGTGTTTTGGGGAATTTTTCAGTTTCTTTTCACTGAACAAAACAAATAATAATTATAAAACTACAATAACAGGGTATCAGGCTTGAGTTTAGAAGGTCTTTCGCCGACTGGATGTGACTGTCAGAAAAAGAAAATATCGAAAGGCCTTACTTCGATTCTTTCGTTCGTTCTATTTATGTATTAGAGGTTTCAATATTGGATGTTTGCAACAATTACTTCTTTCTTATTTATTTTAGCACTTAAATTGAAAGCCTCCTACGCGGGCTTTATATTTGGACTCGTCACGCATTCCTTCATCACGTAGAGGTCACAGGTGGAATGCGTGACGAGTTCGATGAGTGCGTTTGGGAATCGTGTATTTCACTTGCTTGCTTCTCGCGTTGGTTGTCTGCTCAGCTGAGCGAGTTCCAAACAAGGAGTGAGCCTGCTAGCAGACTAAGAATGCTAAACGGAAGGCTCTTGACAATATGTTATCATTATTTTTGTTTTTTCTACAGGGCAGAACGGAAAGGAAACGATGTATTTAACTGCTCGTCTTTCAGTTTGCCTGAAAATTGCGCAGCAAAATACACCTCCCATAGCGCTGAGGTTTTGGACGTGAGTAAATATCCTAATCAGTGACTCCAGTCGTTACTGTTACATGCGTATAAAAGGACAGTTCTGATGCCTGTTTAGTGCGGTTTAATTTATATTCTGAATACGCTTTTTTTCCCTTAGAAACAGTGCAACGTCAACGTGAAAATTAATGCAGCGCCGTGTGTTTTATAGGACCCAACGAAATATAACCCGTAGATTTCCGTGTGCGTTTTACAACGCTTTTGCTTTGGAATGGTGAATAATAGAAACTGCTTTTTCTTAACCTGAGAGAGTGCGCTCCCTTGCACATTTTTCCAATTAATTTTAGAAACAACGACGGCCACGACAACGAAAACTTCAACAAAAGAAAGTTTCATGAGCAAAAAAATGGCTTAGCACGTGCATTATAAATCGTACGTGTTTATTTCTTTACCGTCCTCTACAAAACTGCGGCAATAACCAACTTCTGCGTGTTTCGGAGAACCTGAATCGCGACGACCAATGTTACGCATTTTCTTTTGGAATTGAACGCTGTCACTAGATATTCAGCCTGAACAAGTTTTTAGACCGATTGGCGTACTGAACAGATCCAGAATATTGCAACATTCGAAAGTAATTATAAATCCTTTTTCAAGTCACTATGGGTTCTCCCCGCGCCGTCGTCGTCATTGCATAAGCACCTCTAGCCGACTAGCCATCAATACGCCTGTACTGTTTCCTAATAAGTGATACCAAAATCCGCAGTTTACCCTGCTAAACCTGCCTGCTAAATGAGACATCGAGGAGACCCGCTCCTTTGACTTAGGACTCCCCGAATACAGTGGTCTACAATTAGAAACTTCGACTTCGAAACTTTTTTTTTTTTTTTTTTTCCGAGGGCCAATTTTCTCTAAGAGATGCGCTACCGTATCTAGTTGTATTTATCATCTCGAACTGTATGGATAATTCTTTTTGATCAACCATGATTCCCTGCAAGCTTGTCTTATAGAAGGAATTAACCATTAAACTGTTGTCGCTCTTCGACCACACTTACTAAAACGTGTTTCCTTTCAACACAACATTTCATAATCTACTTAAAGAGGTCTAATTTTACACAGAGGGGGTCCCATCCTCTAAAAATTGGTTAACACGGAAGCCCCAACAGTACCGGAAAAGGCCCTTCAGGTGAATTTCTATGATCACGCTTTTAGTGTAAGACGGACGACACTTGGAGCCACGCCAGTTAGTCATTTTTTCCACCATTCATTTTCGACGACGACGGTAACGAGAACGTCACTAAACAAAAGGTTTAATGACCCATACAATAGCTGTGCACGTGCATTATAAATCTTTGTACATTTCTTTGCCGTCCTCTGCAAAACAACAACGTGAAATGACCAAGTTCTGCGTCGTCTACTGAACGTGGGCGACGACGGCTAAGTTTTCGTATTTCCATTTGAAATTGAGCGATGTCATTGCATATTTAGCCTGAGCACGTTTTTAGAGTCATTGGCGCACCGAACAGATTTACAAAATCGCGAATTTTGCTGGTGAAATATTAATTCGTTTTTTACTAGGCATCGTCCTCGACGTCGTCGTTGCTTAAGCTCCCTTTTGTTACGTGATCGACTGTTGCATGGGTATAATACTCATGCAGCGTGCAAACCAAGAAAATACAAATGACAAGTGGGATATTTCATGGTATATAATTAACAATTAGACCCGTAGCCCTTGAGGGAAAAGGGTCTAATTGTTTCAGTATCACCTAAGTAATCGGACAGAAAAGGCAATAATAAAGTTAGGAAATGCAAGTTGAAGAAATATTTATTTGGGAATAAAACGAAAGAAAGCGTCACGCTCGATTAATTTTGCGCCAATTTCGCTACTCGAGGGCTATTACTAATAGTCCTCTAGTAGCGTAGCCAATCAAAATGCAGGATTTGCATTAGTCCACTAGTTGAGTGATACTAATGTATAATATTTTATACCATAGCATGGAAAATGCAATAATGGCCAACCCAATCATTGCTTTGCACGATGGGAAGACAGTGTTGGGTGTTACAGTAGTTTTACAAAAGATGATTGTATTAGCCTTCAACTTCCTGGTTGCTATTTAGAACAAGATAAACAGGGAAACAGATTTCACGGAGCTGTCTGCAAGGTTTTTTTCTTCTTTTCAAGATGAAGGGGGTGGAGGGAGGAGTTTCACGTCACGTACTCCTTATCAAAGTGCATGATGTGAAGAGCTAAAAGAATGCCTGCACGAGAGGCTATTTCATTTTTCTCTGTTACCGGAAACAATTACCCCTGGGGGCGAGATTCCCATGTATAACTGATGTGGGTATGAGCCGCTGTGAAGAGTATGTTTAACGGGCAGTTTAGTCTGGTATTGATAGAGTATAGGTGAAAAGTATGTTTAACGGGCAGCTTAGTCTGGTATTGATAGAGTATAGAATTCAGACAGTTTTCATACAGAATAGGGTATAAATTACCTGAAAAGTGGCCAGTGTAGAAACAATTTAGTCTAGGGCAAGGTTCCTGACCCCGGGTTCTAGAGTAGAAATTCGAAATCGAAAGTGACTTTTTGAGATATTGATTTAGTTCGCGTATGCTGGACTAAGAGAGTGATATCTATCTATCTATAAGATTTTGAAATTAAAATAGCTAGTCTGGGATAGGGGAGGGGCTTTTGGTGCCTAGTCCAGACTAGGGTTGCAAAATCAAGCTGCTCATGTCTATAAGAATATGGTATTAGGGTTTCAGTGTCTTCAGCATACTCCTTCCTGCCTACCCCATGATTTAGAGTGTACTGCCCCTAACACAATAACAGACCAAACAAATTAACACAAAACAATAACAATACAATTCGAGTCTTTGTTTCTTGAAATATTTTTAATTTATCTAAATAATTTATCTAATCCTACTTGAAACTGGCCTAACAGCGCCAGCTATACGCTTTTACTCCGAACAAACGGAAATGCGCTTTGTAAGAAAAAATAGAGCACCAAACGAGACCAGTCAGAACTTGGAATTGCGAAAGTAACGCCCCCCCCCAGAATCGAAAGCAACGGTTCGCTTTCTATTTAACCCCTTCAGTAACGCTCCCCGCTCATCCCGAAAGAAACGACTCACCTGAAAGTAGCGACCCTTCGAAAATAAAATTGTCTCTGTTTTCGATCGACTAAAAACTTACAACTTTCCTTTTTACAGAGAAAATCAACCATTGGCTAGTGCATGCCATTGATCGAACCTTTCAATTTGTGTCAACATTGGCTGAGATCCCACTAGCACATTTGACAACGCTGTTACAACGGTGTCACACTGTTTCAAGTGTGACCGACTATTTTTTTAGTGTCAGTGTCAGTGTCTGTTGCTCAGGTTACGCGGCTTAATCAAAGGATTTTAACAACGCTGTTTACAACTCTAAAAGTACGATCTATCTGGTGTCTATCTAAATCCACTTGAGATAGACCAACCACGGTTTTTTAAACGGGAAGTCCATTTCGCGATAAGAATTTACGCGCTAAAGTAACGTCATTGGAACGCGAAAATGTTGCGGCTTCCGGCCTCTTTATAGCAAAATCTTCGGGCTAACTGCCAAGTCTCTATTAATCACCGTTACACGTGAATTTGGTCATCGTCATGAAACGTTTTGTGCTCCGCTAACTTGAACAGCCAATTGTACAGTTCTCCAGGCCGTTAACAGCATCATTTTTTCATCGCACCATGCGTTCCCCCGAAATTGTTGCGACACGCGTGGGCGATACTGTTTCACAATTCTTTGTTAAGGTTCCGCTTTCCTGACCCCTTGAAGATCAGAAGATGCTTTATTCGTGGTTCTACATCTGCGAATACTGTCAGTTACTCTATAGATCCTAAAAGATATTATTCTAAAACAGGCGCATATAAAAGAAGGCTTCAATGATGACAAAGACATTTTGAGTCATGAAATGATCTCATCTATAGGGAAAATTGGAGGATTTTACAGATACACATAAGAGGCCCCGGGCGTTGTAAAATAAAACTTGAAAGAATGTTGGATGAGGTCAATGGACGGACTCATCGAGATGGACTAGAGAGATATTAATTTCCACATGCCTTATCAGTCAGTTCTGTTAATTCTTCTGTCGAGACACAGTTACTGATCATTGTTACTGTTATGTATAAATAGACTCAAAACCTGTCAGAAAGAAAACCGCAATTTTACACCCTGAAAGTTTGGGATTATTTAATGCACATTTTGAGATATCGGTCTATTATTTCTTACGCCAAAATCTGAGATGAAATTATTCTTGGAGCAGCTTACAAATTCGTCCCATGTTCTAGGCTTACGACTCAATTGTTCGGAAATTTCCTTGTTCGGAAAAACATACCATGGACGACGAAAGTCTTGTTTGGATCTCCCAGGGGTAAAAAAGCAGTTTACTTTAAGCACACAATTAATGATAGATTCTACCATGTTTTAAAAGCAAGTAATTTCAAGATCTTCGAGAAGTATTTCCGCCCAACCCTCAAACCATCCCCTGCCACCTCCCCTCCCACGACTAAAATAATTGCGTGTTTCACCGGCATAGCGAGACACAATTTGATATCGTTTCTGGTCACTTAAAGCCGACCTTACGCTGTTACAGGGAAATAGTTTTACGAAGACTAGACGCGCCCAAAAACATCCTCGACCAAACGTGCGCTACCGGTCGACACTGACTTCGCAATTGCAATAAGATGTTGCAGCAACCAAGATCAAGAGTAGAGAATGATTATTTCATAGGACAAAGTTCTGGAATTTACGATGAGCTTCGTTTCTACGAAAACCCGTCAGTCGAATTGGATTTCAGCAGTCTTGATGTGGCTGCGTTTACGAAAAACAGCAGTGTGTACAGAAATCAATCCCCTAAAACGCAAGCAAAGGAAGCAAGGAAAAGTCGTCCTGAACCCATGTCGTACATGGAGGAGACAGACCCATGCGGGAAGTTGTACCACTCGACATCGCGACGAATGAAACGTCTCGTGGCACTGAATTCAATTCTGTCTGTTCTGACCCTAATTTGTCTTGGGTTCACAAGTTTTCTTTGTTACAAACTGCTTATTGAGAACGACGGAGGGACCTGCGAAGGATGCCACAATGATACACCAGTGTCAGGTAAGTGTTTTTTGTACAAAGTACTTATGCTATTTATGCTGTTTATGCGAAGCTAGAGACTTCGTGATGTTTAGCGCCAAAGGACAAATTTCTGGATCAGTTGTTAATCTGCGATGACTAGCACCCCCGGTCAGGATGAGTCAATTTATGTTGGGAAAACTAACCTGCTTTAGGGTTCGAAAAAGAACACAACATCCTCACCGCGGCTTACACGGAAACCTGCGTTTTGTAGTAAAAATGGGGAACCAAATCATAGATTTAGTATTTTAACTGATTTGATATTCAGTCATGCTTCTGTTTATTAATATTTCGACTATTACTTAAGGTACTAAGCATTTACTCTTTAAAATACAGTGTAATCTCGATTTTTCTAGTCACTTTAAGAAACAGAAAACTGGCGCGAAAGATGGCGGGTAAATTTTTCCTAACTTTTTTACTAAGAGAGGCAAAGATTGCTTCGAATAATCGCGAGTTTCAAGAACTTTAGGGCTCCAGAAATCGGGATATCTCTGTAACACAGCATGTGAAGGTAAGAAGCTACTGGAATTTCAATCAAAACCCCGCGAAATCCTAATCACGCATTTTTGTTATTGTTTACATAGGGGGAATCTTAGTGTCAGTACTTCACAAGTTGTGTGCATTTTTTTGGCATAAATTCAGATGTAGTTAGAGTTTAGTTATCGACGATATTCGGATCTCTTGCACGTTTAATAGTTCCCTATGTGACATGGAGTTCTGAATTAAATTTTTTATGTCCGGAAAACAGCCGTTGAATATCAAAAAATAATTTCTCAGATTTCGCTTGATCAGATCTTCGTTGCGTCTCGGACCACCAAAAGACTGGCAGACCATTTCTGAAACGTTAAACTAGATTTAAAATCTAAAAATAATGTGATCATCCGAATACCACGGCTGGTAGTTGCGTTTTATGATTACAAAAAGAAATCACCAAAAGTAGCCAAATCCCGTAATCATGCGAAAAGATTTCCGTTCCATACCAAAGATTCTTCATTTACCCATGTTTAGAAGGTGAAGGCGGAAGTCGACTGTGATTCGTGCAAGTAAATAAACTGATATGTTGACGGCTGTTGATCCGTGCGGGCATTTGTCTAGCCTGGCATAAGTCCAGGTAGCTCGTGTTTCTTTTGCTTCGTGTGAAAGACGTTTGCTTTGGACTCTCATGGGCAAACCGCGAGATGGCAGCTGACACTTCGCACTAACTTACACGCAAACCAGTCTTAACTGGAGTTCTTGATGATGAACACTGCTTCGATACTCACAGCTGAATTGTCCAGGTCTCTTTTATACTAATGAAGCAAAAAGAAAAGAAAACCGTTGATTCTGTAAATGCTTCGAAGGATTGTGGCCTCATACGTAAGGGTTTACGACACATTTCCTGTCTCAGGTCTTCAGTTGAAAGTCTGCGATGATGTACACGAGAGTTACTCATTTGTAGGGCTTATTCGCTTGTATGCAAGTTTACTTAATGTATCCTGTTTTAACCACTAATATTTATCAAAAATTTTACAGTGATAACTGCAAGCGACAAAGGGGCATGCATATGAGATTACTGGTATCGATAGCTTGTCTCAAATTTTTGAAGAGTTTTGAACGTTCAACACAATAATGGTAGGAAGATTATACAGTATTCCACAGAAAATAGACTTCTAGAGCCTTTTGGTCTGACTTGTCAAAGATCTTTGAACTAGCTGAAACAACATAATTTACTCTATCTCCTTTCATTGGGCTTTTTGTCTTCAAAACGGGAAAGAGAGAGGGAAACAGAAGTGGCCACAATCGTCTGTCGACAAGATTAAGTGCGATTTTCCGCTTCAGTCACGGAGGTAGAATAGCGTGCTTTGGTCCTAGAAAGCTAAGGGTACGAATTTGAAGTTAAAGAACATGGTTACCAAAATTTAGAATAAGTACAAGTGTTCCCGGCTGCCTTTGGGAATCATTCATTCGAATGACCAAGATTCAACCAATAATAGAGGTTCTCTGTTTCTGAGCCATTCCTGAAAGAGGCTCTTTCCCTGGAATAGAGGAAATGGAAATATGAGACGCAAGGGATTAAAATCTTAAGTTTTTAAAGACATACGCCACTACGTCACTGCGTTTGATGCGTTCTTTTTAAGTTGTGTTTATTATCCTACTTAGGATTTCCAACAGTGATGCCCAGAGTCGCGTGGAAAAATCTCTCAGAAAATGTACAAACCCTCAAGGACAACGTTTCATCCCTGGAGGAGATCAGTGTTATTTTAAGCACGGTATGTAAATAGCGCGAGTAATCGTGCAAAGGCTTAGCGGAAACTTCAATTGTGTTTTGTTTAGTTTTTTCGTTACGTACTACCGGTTCTAGATAAGGGAAAAAGTGTTCCAGTCTATGGGGGGGAGGGGGAGTGGG